ATGTCAGTGGCGGCTGGCTGGGTAGCTAATGCCTACAAGGATACTTTTGTTCATTCACTAAGGATCAACGTTGAAAGCAAAGGCGGCCCGAATTGCTCTATGCGCCGTGGTGTATTACATATGGCATGCAAGAAATGAGATCCGCTTTGATGATGGCAAGAAGACTGAGGAGGACGTTATAGCCAAGATTAAGCATATCGTCTATAAGATACTATATAGTATCTATCCATATGAATTGATAAACTTTTGAGTGGGCCAATATCAAGTGGGAGGCCACGATATGTATACCGCGGTATGGTCATACTCTACACTGCGTCACTGCGACATGGATTTTCTGGATGCCGTGGCATGGACCTATTGGTTGTCGCGGCTTGGGCACATGAGATACTGCGGCATAGGCATCTTGGATTACGCGGCATGAAGCAGTGTTTTGGACTTAGGGTGTGTGCAACTTGCAATACCTTTGTATTTTGTTATGATTGGAACCTTATGATTTGTGTGCGTGCATGCGTGCATTGGCGTAGATTAGATCGAATAAAAACCTCCTTTCATCCCTACATTATGTGTGTGGGGGGAGTTAGGAGATCTAGGATACTTTGACGTATAGTTTTCTTTGGTGTTAATATATATTTACATTTCATCCGGAAAAAAAAATGAGGATAAAATGCACTTCGGTCCTGCAGCAATATACGGAGTAATCATATTACGCATAGAAGTACCTGTTTAAACAAAACGTAAAACTTTACTGTGATTATCCAAAAAGGTCCGACCTGCCGGATTCGAACCAGCGACCTAAGGATAATCTGTGGCTTTTGACCGACTACAGTCCTCCGCTCTTCCAACTGAGCTAAGGTCGGATCTGTTACACAAACTCATTTAGACGTATATAAAGAAAAAACTAATAATAAAACCACGCCTGATTCATTTTGCAAATTTATTACTCCCGTAGTTTTACTTCCTACTCAATAGAGGAGCCATAAAATTAATCTCTAATCTCTAATCTCTAAAATCTTATAAAGCCCAATGAAGGTTAGGACTTTTTGGGTGTTAAAAAAATTTTGGTGGTATTTGAAAGCAATAAATGGTTGTACAATATATTTAACTTATTGTACTATATTATTATTGTCTGTGGCTCCGTTAATATAACATCACATGTCATTCCTCACTTGCCGTCACCGTTCATGAGCCTACGTTAAAGGACTAAAGGAGTATCACCTACTACTACCGTACTACGTATTACAATATCAATGTTATGAGCTCTCTCTTTCTTTATTATTTATTTATTGATTTCATTTAATTCTTCTCCATTCACTAATTAATCATCCTATCCCTCTATTCGGACTAAAAATTTGCATAATTTTCTTCTTCGCTTGTTGATCCTTTTTAAATGATTTATGAAAATAACTTCTCATCGTCTTCTTGTCCCATTTTACTCCCTCCGTCCCACTTAAAGGTTCCCACGCGGTTTACGATGTTTGACTGGCCATAAAGTTAACCAATCCCTGCCATTAATAGGATTATTTTTAGAAAATAAAATTTACATATTCAGAAACTACATCAAAGTTTTATAATTCCTTATCAAGAAAAATCAAATTTGATAAAAGTTGGATATATAAAGTAAAAGATTAAGAACAATGCACGTTGACCGGAGAATAGTGGACGAGAACCTTTAAATGGGACGGAGGGAGTAATATTTAGTGTTAAATGCTATATTAATTGGAACTCATTTGATAATACTGAAATTAGTTGAATCGATTGAATTTACTGAAATATGTGAAATTCTGTCTGAAGCAATCTGAGCTGTAAAAATAGATAATAAAAAAAACTACATGACAAATAGTTAAAATAATCTTTTTTCACCAAATTCAGCATAAAATAACCTAAAATTTACTTATTTTGATTATTACACAAAATAAGTACAAATAAGCCATCCAATTTCCTTAAAGATTAATATTGAATGATTAATTTGTCACTAAAGGTTTTTAATTGATACTATCAGGTTAATAAGATCAAAATAAGTACAAATAAGCCATCCAATTTCCTTTTAAGAATTTGATAGGTATATTACCTTTATTTTAAGATGGCTTCAGTGCCAGTGGCCGGGCGAAGAAAATTCTAAAGTGAGTCGTTGCCCAAATAAGCCATCCAATTTCCTTTTAATATGTGTCAATGAATTTTTGTGAAAATCTGTTAGTTTTGTTTAAAACTATTTGCCTTACATCGACTATGTTAGATTGCATTATTACCTATCATTTGTAAGTAATTTTCGGAAACAGAAAATCAATGTTTATGTTATATACTACCTCCGTCCCATTGGAAGGTTCCCATAGCAAAGCGGCACGAATATTTAGGCAATAATTAAATAAAATACTTCGAGTATATTTTGAGAAATAAATACTTTTAATGTAGTTAGTATTGATAAATGTGATGTTATAAATGTATTATTTTTAATATTGAATGATTAATTTGTCACTTAAGGTTGTTAATTGTTTCCTAAAATGGAAATGAGAACCTTCTAATAGGACGTCCAACAAAGGAAAATGGGAACCTTCTAGCGGGACGGAGAGAGTAAATAATATTGGGCATATATCTAATCGCGCAACGCGCGTAAATAAAACTAGTTACAGTGATAAATTTTAGCAATACTTATTAAGAAGTGAGATTTCACTCTAAATTAATCTTAATACGATTACTTTATATTATGGATGTCGAATGAATAATTTCAATCAAAATATAATTGAACATGCCTCTCATAATTTACTACTCCGTAAAACAATAGTCTTGTACTAAACGTGATCAAAGTCAAAGACATACTACCTTCGTCCCGTAAAGAAGTTCTCTGAGGACCCCCAACACCGATTGGACGGCACGATGGGAGGATACAAATCAAAATATAATCACAATCTGACAGATAGAGAGTGAGGCTCTGTCCCCGGTACTTGTAGAGACCCTATTGAGCAAGAAAATATTGAGTTTGACGAATATATATGTTGTCGTATTTCTTGCAACAAAAAGATCAAAACTTTTTCGAGACTCTGTTGAATTCCCTCCTTAGTGGAGAAATTCATGAGAATATAATGTTATAATTTACAGAAATGTCTAAGATTCTTCATATGTGTCTAGAGAAGTATTGAATATTCTATGAATCTATGATAAAAATGTCATTAATGTGGAGTTTTGTAGAGTAGTGTAGAACCCACTAAAGTCTCACAATCCCCCCAACTTATCTCCCTATAATTACATTCACTTTCTATGTTTACTTTTTCTAATTTTTTCTCTTATCTCTTTTTACCCAAATTCCTTTATTTGTTCACTTATATAAAAATTAGTGTCATTTATCCACATGAACCTTTCAAGACAGAGAAATTATATTACTTATAAAAATTCTCGGTTGAATGAAGGTAGAAGAACATGAAGAATAATACTTCTACATAAAAGGGTGTAAAATAAAAACATACTACGTATGATTTATTAATGTTGAATAATAAATACCTTAACTTGTTAAATTTTACATTATTCACATGTTCTACTTTGACTACTTTTTATTTATTAATGTATTAACATTTTTTATGAAAAAGTATTGTTAAATTTGTCTCATTGTAAATTAAAAATTAATCATTTTATTAATTTTTAATTAGATTAAAACTATTCAATTAAGCTTGAAAAGTATTGTGGAAACTATAAATATATGGGAGAAATATATCTTATATGTCTATTTGTATAGTTAAAGAGTAATATAATTAAGCATTTAAACAAATTTAATAATATTAATTATATTTAATCTATTTGAAATTATTGATGCAAAAAAAACATTTCTTAGTATTTATTTTCTTTTCCTAAGCATTATCCACACACGTAATAAATGAATGATATTGATACTCGTACATTGTTTTGTTTTAGTTGTCATAGAAATTAAAGTCTCAAATATTTCAAATTAACCTCATGATATTATTACAACATTGTTTTGTTTTAGTTGTAATAATTGAACATGCCTCTCATAGATTGAATGGTGTAGAAGAAAGAACTATGTGTGGATTCAAACGAAATTATGTTTGCATTGACTTCCGTTTGATTTTGAGTTTTTTCGAATTTTACAAGGTTTTATTGTAATACGAAGTAGTTTTTTGGTCTTGTACGTTTTAATAGATTTTGTAGATATTTTAAGACTAAGATTAACCGGTTTAATTTGTACTATATGTTTTGGATTTTCTTTTGGTTTAACTTAATTCGGCATGGTTTGAACACTCAAAATATCCACCTAGATGTACGGAAGCGTATACGGCTATACGGCTATACGGCTGACACCGTACAACCGGTAGCATTTTTGTAAATTTGATGAAGTTCATGGTTTATCTTAAATGAACATTGAAGTAATTTGGATAGGCATCGAATTTGTTCTTCTGAGTATTAGGAGCCTAACAATGAACACCAGTGATCTCTGCTTCATATCTTCTAATTCAGTTTCTTTTTTATTAATTTTCCGTTCATAAAAAAATCTTAAATTGTGTTTATAATTTATTTCAATATGTCAATCTAATGTAGTATGATATGTTTGATATGTGCATCATTTTAAAATTAGCATACATGATTTACAAAATGAGTATAAAAAAATTCAAAACTTCATTTGTGTATGCTCATTGATTTTGGACGTTATATTTGATATGTGCATCATTAAAAAAATGAGCATAAAGCAGTATCAAATACCAAATGAGCATACATAATTTACAAATTGAGTATCAAAAAATTCAAAAATTAATTTGTGTATGCTCATTGATTTTGGGCGTTATATCTGATATGCGCATCATTTTAAAATGAGCATAAAGCAATACCAAATGAGCATGCATAACTTACAAAACGAGTATAAAAAATTCGAGAGCTCATTTGTGTATGCTAATTCATTTTGAATGTTATACTCATTTTAGTTTAACATAAAATTCATTTTCAATGTGTTCGAAATTAATTTGTGTGAGTTCATTTTTTTTAGGCGTATACTCATTTCTTTTTGGCTCATTTAAAAACTCTACCATACTCAAACTTTTATTTATGTATACTCGTTTTTTTAAAACTAAGTACTCCATACAATTTAGGTATCCCCTAACCCAAAAGCTACCAAATTAAAAAAAAATCAGTGTAAAAAAATACAAAGAGGAAAAGAAAGCCGGAGCTAAGCCATCATCGCCGCATCTTCCCAGCACCTGCGCAATCCATCCATCCATAACCCGAACGAAGCCACCATCACCGCATCTGCGCAACCCATCCATAGCCTCTCCATCACTGCACACAGATCCATAGCGAAGGCCATTGATGAGGAAGAGACGAGATTCGAGAGGTGGAGGCAGAGATCCCAGCGACGACCGAAGCACATAGCAGCGAACAAAAAACTCGGCTGTACCGTGCGCACGGTACAACCGACTGTACGGTGTAATTTACCTTGATGTATTTCATTAACATTACTTGTGGAGTAGATGTTAATTTCCAATTTTATTTCTCCCGTAATTGAAGAAGTGGCGAAACTTAATTTCGAGGATCACATCTATTTTTTTGCCTATAGATATACAGAAAAGGATTGCAAGTTTGCAACCCGTGAAAGTAATTAAAAGATTCTTCATACGAAGTACTATATATTCGGTATATTGTACGTAGTATTAAACTAGGTATGTTGTTTAATGAAATGTAACATTTAAACTCTTATATGAGAATTCTGATCTACCACTCTTAGGAAATTGTGTTTTCGTGGTAGACTAAAAAATACTCACGTACTATGTAATTTATTTGAAATGCGTTTCTTGTACAATTTAATGCACTTTTGCGCTACATTTTTCTATGTTACAATAAAACTTCTGGATTATAAGACGAGTTACACCTTATTTATTTATTCTTCACACAGACAAATATACCTGTATATACAAAAACGAGATGTCTATGTACATACAAAAGTGTACGTGGACATATAATTTAATCTGCATATATGTTTACAAACAAATTTTATTCATCCAAAAAACTTTGTTCGCATAAACAAATTTTGGAAAAGTGTATGCTTTTCTGTATTTTTTTTGTATCCCTCCAACATTAGGAAAAAACAGGTGAAAACGAAACAAAAAACATTCGTTTCGTGTGATAGTGTCGGCCATAAAGAAAACCAGTTCATGAACCGGCACGCATCACCAAGTCGCTGTAATCCCAGTTGAAACGTTGACGGAAAGGAAGTGGAAGAAAGATCAGGAAGAAACCCGGTTACAAAGTAATTCCCACAGTAACCTTCAAGCTTCACACCTTGTGGCCCTTTTTCTTCCCAAGTTTAATCCCGATTCGATTCTCCGCCGGTTACTTCCCCGTTCTTTTCTATCACTTTTTCTTCTGTTAATCACATATACTTCCGTTTCTTACCTCACAAATTTTCTGTCTTACCTTGCAATTCTGAAATCTTTTCGGCTGTATTGGCTTAATTTCTCCTGCAGCAAAGGTAATTTGTGTGCTTATTCGTTTTCGTTTATGTAATGCATATATATGTGTATACAATGATCTCATTTTCTTTTCAATTGGAAAGATCTCATACTTTAATCTCTGGGTTACCTGATAGTTTAGTTTCAAACCCATGTGCTGTTTTTAAGTTAGGATTGATCTAGATGTACTATTATATCAGTTTGTCAGAATGGATGAACCGCTTTAATAAATCTATTCGCGAATTTCAAAGATGGAATCTTTAGGTAACTGTTAAAATTATACCCTAAAATTATACCCGCCCATGCAATGGAAGATGAAAGTGTGGGTTGAGATTTTGCTGTAAATGAGTGGAAAATATTAATCACACATTTCTTTGAATGGAAATTAATGGTATGTTTTGTTTGTGAACTTAGGTTCTTCTGGTTTCACCTCATTTGTTTATTAGTTTTTGAGAAAAGATTGATAGGTTTTCAGAGAGCTTCATTTATCTAGGAGAACCTCTTAACATTTCTAATAATGTAGTCTGAGAGAGTCTTCTAACCGGAGGTTTGTGAGGTTAACTTCTCTCTATAAGTAGTTTTGACATATTCAACTAGGTTAACCTAATAATTACCAAAACAACACTTTTTATGTTTAAGTACCTAGGTTCAACCTATTTTTTCTATTCCTAAGTTCACTTTTGCAAAAAAAAAAAGTTCACTTAAGCTTACCAGTTTTACTTAAGTTCACTGTTCATTCTATCCTAACGTGTTCAACTTCAATGGTTCAAGATAACTGGTATAAGCTGTAGTAATTTCTGTCAAGCGCAGTTTCTTCTTTCTTTTCTATAGCGCACTCCTACTGTGCCCATCTTTCCCCTTGGCCACTTTTTACAGCAATCTGGACTTTTCAACCTAAAGCATATGCATTTATATATTGAAGCTACTGATGCGTAAAGAATTCGCAGAGTAATTACTGAGACAGCCCGATTATCAAGTCAAAAGGTTTTTTTTTGACATCATAATCATGCAAACTAGTCCGATATGGTAGTGTTTTCCACTCAAATGAGAAAGCATGCAGCTTTTTTCTGAATATGTTACTCCCTCCGTCGTACGAATCTTGATCAACTTTCCTTATTTAGCCATTTCTTTATTTAGTGCTCCAAAAAACTTTGTCATTTCCTTTTAAAGCAACAATGTTGTGGTTAGTCATATTTCTCTCTCTTGTACACAGACTTGAACAGTTGAACTACAAGATTTTTTATTTTCTAATTCCACTTGCAAATCTACTTTGGCTAACTTTTATGGGATAGAGGGAGTATTTTGTTTGTCTCTATCTAGTAAAAGTTTAATATCCTATTTGCACTGAATTGTAATTCCCTTCACTTTTTTTCCTCTAACTTTGGTGACAACTACACATTTGGTAACTGCCTTTGAATTTTTCCACTTTCACTCTTTGACGATTGTGAGAGCGACACTTTTAGTCTTCTTACTATGTGACAATGAGACTTTTGGTTCTCCAACTATTGACTAAATTTAAAAAGTGTACCAAAAATGTCACTGTCACGCCAAAAGACCAAAAGTGGAAAATTTAAATTCGAGCATCAAAACTGGCATTGCCACAATAGTCAGATGACTAAAAGTAGGGAAAAACTCAAAGTGAGAAAATTTCCAATAAGTTGTTACCCCTTTTGATAATTTTGTTTTATCCATGAGGCTTAGTTCGTTGTATCAATATGTAGGAATTCGCCAGAAGAAATATACTTGGGCGGCCCAAGTTGGGCCTGTTTACTGGAAATTTGAATGGCTTTTTTGGCTGATGTTGCATAGATGGAAAGTAGAACTACACGACCGTCTGGTCTGGCTGTGATGATTCAATGGTAAACGTCAAAACCTCACATCCTCCTATCATATCTTATAGACCTATACGACCATCTGATTTGAAAGTTCTTGAGAAGATCCATGAAGATTTGTTCCCTATCAGGTTAGATGATTACTTATTCTTTGTTAGTTAATTCTTGCCTTGACTTATTGACAGCCCTAGTGCTCGTAGTAAAATCATTTTAAGATGGAGATTTGTCTTTTTGGTGAAAAATGAGTATATTTTGGGTGTTTTAGGTATGAATCTGAGTTTTTCCAGAATGTTGTAAATGGGCGTGACATTGTATCTTGGGGAGCAGTTGATTGCAATAGGCCCAATGATCAGTGTGATGAACTTATTGGATTTGTAACTGCACGAACTATGAATGCAAGAGAAAGTGAGGTGGGCTTCCTTTATGTTACTCTTCAAGTAATGGGATCATGTGCAAGTCTTTCTTGGCCAATTATGGAAAAGACGCTCAACTTTTAACCCTTAAAAACTCCATTGTCCCTGATTTCTTCAAATGGCTCATTTCGCCCCCTAAACCAACTAAATAACTCACAGAACTGAACTTTTTAGAAGTCTTGATTGAATTGGACGTGTTTTGTATGTAGATGTTCAGAGCACTAATGATATTAGGTTCTTGAAATAAAAGTGACGGGATACATTCATTTCATACATCTAATATAAGTTATGGTAAAACTTGTTGCAAAATAAAAGTATAGATAGTGAAAGTTTACTTTTGATACAATTTGGGTTGAATTTTGTGAATTTAAAGCGTGTTTTTTAATCCTTCCTGACTGGTGTTATCATCGTTTACGGGGGTTTTCACGTAGCTAATCGCATTAGTGTTTTAAAAACATATGCATACATGAGACGGCCAAAATCAATCAAGACTTATTTAAATTTCAGGGTCTTTATTAAACGGTTTAAGTTATTTTAAGGGCTAAATGTGACTTTGAAGTTCACTAAATAAATTCAAGATTTTTTTCTTTCTTTTTTTGTTGAAAGATGAGGGTCGTGTTTGGATATTTGGTCAGTCTTTCATTGTCGTGACTATGATCTCTCTGTACAGGTAGATGATTTGATTAGGTTTGACCCATCGAAGCCAGACCAGACTTTAGTTTATGTCTTAACTCTGGGAGTCTTGGAATCTTATAGAAATCTTGGAATAGGTGAGGTTTTACTTATTTGTTCACATAGTATATGATAAAAGCTTTTAAAAAGTTCACTTACTCATGGATTTCTTTACGGTTGGCGGTTGGAGTTTCAGCAAGTTCTCTAATTCATGAGGTCATAAAATATGCCGCAAGCATGCCAACTTGCCAAGCAGTATACCTGCATGTGATCTCTTACAATCATGCAGCTATCTTGTTATACCAGAAAATGTCATTCAAGTGTGAAAGGAGGTTGCATTCTTTTTATTTGATCAATGGCCATCACCATGATGCATTCTTGTTTATATACTATGTGAATTCTGGCCGATCTCCTTGCTCACCCTTGTAAGTCAATCTTTCTGAATTCACTCTGCTCACATTTCAGGGAAAATCACTTTTTAACTTTTATTGACAAATCAGCATTGCTTTACCCATGTGATGTGTATTATTGAGTTTGGGTCATACATTATTGATTAGTCATTGAACTTTGTTTTGCAGAGAGGTATTTACCGTTTTGATTAGTTATGCAAAGAGTAGGTTCAAGTCTATATGTACAAGATTGTGGAAATGTGATGAAAGAAAGACTTCCAAGTGGCCCAGCTGTAAAGAAACAGGTTGCCTTCTCCCCACATCACAGAATAAGAGGGCACACAACTGAAACTACAAGAATTCAATTTGCTTAAAGTTCCATAAGAACTTGCAAACATGATCATTTCTTGTTTGTTAGTCCCTCAAATTTGTCATATTTCATGCCTCTCTAAAGAGGCATATTTGTGTCTCAAATAGTTTAAAAACAGACACTTATATAGATGTGAATCTAATTAAACCGCGTGTTGGAGCTCATCATTGTGCATTTCATGCTGTGTTTTGTTGTGATTTGTTTCATTTGTTGGAGTGTCTCACTGGGCTATAGATAGCTTATCGTCAGAAAAGTTCGTAAAATATTAAAAAATGAGCTTAATTTATACTTGGTAATTTGTCTATCGGCAGCATTCGACTTTCACCCTTGGATAGACTTCTCTCAAAGACCCCAAGTAAACTGCTAGACTTCTCTTTCTTTTTTTTCTTTCAACTGCTATACTTTTGTAGAACAGAAATTGCCCTAAATAGGAGTAAAACGTTTTGAAATTCCAAAATAGGACTATCATGTTTTTTATTCCTTGAATACGAGTAATCTGCCAAGTTTGGAAAAAAATGCCATGTTTAAAGCCTTGTAATGCCAAACTTAACATAAATTTACTCCTATTCAGGGAATAAAAAACATGATAGTCCTATTTTGGAATTTCAAAATGTTTTTACTCCTATTTAGGGAATTCTCTCTTTGTAGAACGTAAATACTCTGCTATGACTTGCTTTCGTTTTATTAATTCAGATTCATTGTCTTATCAACTCCAGAACTCCATGAAATTCTTTCTACCAATTGAGGTCATTTTTAGCTAATGGTAGACTAACGATTAGATGCAAAACCTGCAACTTATCTCATAGTTCAATCTTACGTAGTTGCCTAATATGTCTCTCTACTTTGTACGGAGTATATATGTTTATATAACTACATTTACGATACTTAATCCGGGTTGGAACAGCTTTCTTTGGATACCAGATATTAAATTCATAGAATATTAGCTTCTTTTTGTTGAGATGTGAGTTTAGGGTAAAACAAAGACTTTTTTTTGACAGAAGGGTAAAACAAAGACTTAAGGTTAAAAGAAGTCGTGATTTTTAGGGCTAAGGAGTAATTTTTATTTTAATCATTTTATAAATATAATCAACATTCCTCATTACGAAAGACAATGACCTTTACAAAAAAATCAGCTATAAGTTTGGAACAATTACAAAAATAATTCCTTAGAATTCTTAATAGATAAAAATAGGACTACCGTTTTAATTGGACAAAAAAAAGAAACTAAGTATCATCGACAAGGCTAAAACACCCTTCTTTCTTCGTATCTTTCCTGGGAGTTGCAGGACTTTGCACACTCTCGTCCGTCTCGGCGCTTGAAGGCATCGCCGTACGCTTGCCCGAAAGCACACCTAGCGTCGGCTCCGAAGTAGCCACAACCATGGCCGCTACCTTGCACGCCCATTCTTCTTCGTCTACTCTTTTCTCCGTGCTATATTCAAGGATTCAAATCGATGAACTAGCTGAATTATGTAGGAATTCTTAAAAATAGAAAAGAATATGGACGTAAGCTTAATAGTTGAACTGAAAATGAATAAGGAAGAAGACTGTTTTCATTCATGTTGCGTAAAAAGTATACAAAATGGGCTATTTATACGTCTATAATCAACTTCACCCCAACTACCAGTTAGTTACATGCTAACTAACGAAGCCCATTATCTAACTGATCCCTTGTACAAATGCCAAGTAGATTACATGCAGGTGGGTTATATTGCCTATCCATAACAATCCATCCCCACACATATTAAGAAGCTTGCCCACAAGCTTCAAGCGCGAATGATGTACAAAATATGGGAACTTCTTAGCAAGTAACACAAGTTCTGATGATGTTTCTAATGTCTTTCTTCATTCTTTTCATTTAAAATAGAGATTGAATTCTTTTGTAAGTAACCTGAATTCCAGAATGGCCACCAATGGCAGAACTATGTAGAAGCTAAATAATTTCTTTCCTCAAGTTTTCATCCTCTCCTACCACCAATTTTCCTTTTCGAAGGAGTTTATCTTGTGACCAGGAATATTTCCCTTCTGTAGTTGACCCTTCTTTCAGTTTGATAATCAACTCAGCAATATTTCCAAGCTCCCAGCTGTTTGCATTCTTTCCATCAAATCTGATTGCACCTCAGTTAATATTAAAATAAGCAATTCTCCATTACCCACTCTGGAAAGGGAATTTGCTGCAACATTCTCCTTACCCTTTCTATATTCAATTTCATAATCCAATCCCATGAGTTTAGGTAAGCATTTGCTCTGAAATGGTGTTGTGATTTTTCTGCTCCAGTAAGTACTTGAGGCTGAAGTGATCAGTTTTAATAACAAAGTGGTGTCTAATTAAGTATGCTTTCCATTTTTCCACCACCATGATTACTGCCAATAGTTCCTTCTTATAGGTAGACATGGCCTTGTTCTTCTCAGACAGAGCTTTACTCAAATAGGCTATGGGACGTTGTTCTTGAGATAGAATGGCTCAACATAGCTGGGATGTTGAAACTGAGCGGGAAAAATGCTCCTCCCAGTTCCCCCATCTTGCCAGGCCTCAACATGCCTCTCAAATGTTTCAGATTGTCGACATAATTCTGCATAGGAAATCAAGAAAAATAATCAACATGCAAATTATTTGGGCAACACAACTTGGGCCTTTCATACATTAATGTGCCCATTTGATCTTCCCTCCTGCTGAATCATTTTGATCTAAACGGTTGAGCGTGATGACATATGTGTATCATTTGTTGATTTTTAACATTCAAGCAAGGTTATTTGAACATCTACACCCCATTATTTTATACATCCAATTGCTTCTATGTTTCATTATCCCAAGAATATTTTATCTATATAAAAAAATATCCAAAAAATGGACAATCAAACCTATTTCTACGGTCTCCTCTTCAATTATATTGGCACTGGTTTGGTAGCTCTTTTGGCTAATCCAACTGTTGATCCTGAAGATCATAACACATCTTTGTTATTTTGGTCTTTAGCATGCCAAGTACGGAGTATTTCTTATCTTGCCCAGCTTTCTTTGGTATAAAATGTTACTTGGATTATTTAAGGATTCCTGATGTACTCATGTAATATCATTTGCACACATAAGTACTACTTTTTAAGCATGCCAAGTATGTTTCTTGACCTTTAAATAAGTGTCTCTTTGCACACATAAGTACTACTTTTTCACTATACCTCAAATACCAAATTCCAATATGATTACACAATTGATATTCAAAATCAGAAAAGGAAATAAAACGTGTTACCCAATAATTAAAGTTTTCAAATCATTTTGAAACAAGGGAGTATTAAAAAGACAAATGTGGAAGGATTCCAGACAAAGCGCAATAGGTTGACTCTCAATTTATGATGTGTACAACATTAGAACATTTAGTCAAAGAATTAGTTGAGTTTTTAGATCACACTCGTTACAATAATGGAAGCATGGCAAGCACTAAGTTGGCTCCACGAGATTGTCAAGTAAAATTAATATAAACATGAAATACAAATACTTCCCTTGCACCAACCCATTCTAACTTGACTTTTAATCCAAAAGTATAATTTAATACCCCAATAGCACATAAAAAGCATATGGCTGCACTAAAGAGATATGTAGGGGTGTTTGAAATTGATTCTACTTCTGCTTCAGAATCATTTTACGTGACGTAGTCTCCCCCAGTTTCCAAAAAACATTTCTAGGAGCAATTTGGAACACTCAGAAATGCTTCTACACTTCACCCTAACACTCCAATATTTGTTTCTACTCCTTGAAGGAGCGGAAACAGTTTTCAAAAGTAGACCCAAACACCCCCAAGTGTATAAAAGATATACAAAGTGCATTTCATAAGAATATTTAAGCATATGTGTTTGGAAAGAAAATATAAAACTTTCTCATGACATGTAGATGACAAATGCAACAAGTGAGACGATGCCGAGTGGATGAGGTGAGGAGTTTCGATGAGGAATTCAACACTCCAGAGAGGATTATTAGCTTCGTATAATGATGTTCCAGCTCAATAACTACACCGCCGCCAATGAGTGAGGCATCGCCGGACTTGTATCTCCTTTCTCCTTTCTCCTTTCTGTTCTGCCTCGATAGGGAAGTTCTGGCATAGCTTCTGCCATGGACACACAGAGCAGAAATTTCAAAATGTCTCAACGGTTCCCGTGTGTTTAATTTAACGGGCATACTTGGAATTAACACAAAACTAACTCGTAGGATAAAAAAGAAATTAATAGGGAAAATGGGCCAATAAACCCTCGAACAAACCAAAAAAGTGCAAATCACCCCTTATATAGAAGGCTCTGTCCGGCCGTCACCATTTGGGGAGGTTCCCCGTTCCCGGTGGAATTTTTTGATGAAATTTCTTGAGTATCCTCTTCATTAAGTCTAGTTTCTCCATACCAAATGTTAGATGAAAATTCAACCGGGAAGACAGACAAATGAATTTTTGAAGATAACAACGCAGTATATTTCATTTGATTGCCTTCCCGGTTTTATTTTTAGCTGAAATTTGGTATGTGTAAATTAGACTTAATGAAGAAGATGGTAAAAAAAATTTATCCAAAAATTCCAACGGGAACTGCCCGAAATGGCGACGGCCGGACAGAGCCTCCTATATAAGGGGTGATTTGCACTTTTTTGTAAGTTTGAGGGTTTATTTAGCCCTTTTCCCAGAAGAAATTGCCTTATTCGAGGATAGGTGGGTTAGTTAGTAAATAGGTTTGTATGATTAGAATTTCTCTAGATATGAGTAGGGTGAGTTTTAGAGCCCGTTTGGTAGCACGAAAATTAGTTGTTTTGGTTGATTTTGCTGAAATTTTTGAAGTTCTGGCTGAAGTGGCTGCATTGGCCGATTCTGGTGATTTAAGAAACAATTATTTTTAAAATATATATTATTAATAAAATAAAGAAAAAATTATAAGTAAAAATAGTTAAAATGGTCATCTACAGTAACTCCAACCAAAACAGTCAGAAAAGTAACTCCAACCTTACTTTTTCTGCTTATTACACAACTCAGCGCGTGAAAGTAAAAGTTACGTGTTTGATGAAAAAGTGGCTGATAAGCCTGATAAGCCGAAAAACAGTGCTATCAAACGGCCTCTTAGGCTGATTGCAACGTATGGAGTGAAAAAGCCATATTCAATCTATTGACTCCTATGTGTACTCCAACCCAAAGAAAAAAGCGTAGAGAAGGGTCTTATAATGGGTGCATAGCTCCCCAAACATGGATTGGTAGCACCC